GGTACTGTACCTAGTATCTTGTATCTTCGCAAATCACTAACGCTCTGAATAGGTGGCTATTTATAAACAAAATCATAGAAAATAAAGTTAATATGGAATTTACTGGGTTCAATTTTATCAGATTAAAAAACCTATTTACGATTTAAGTTAAAAACTCTTAATTAAAAAAATAAAAACCATTATAAAAAACGTTCATTTTATAATAATGACTTTTACTGCTGGCATATTTTTCCTATGTACTATATACTATATACTATTGCACAAAATCTATTATTTCATTGTAGGTATAAAGTTTTAGATTTCTCAGACTTGTTACACGAAATCATTGCGAAATCAACCTATTTTAAAACAATTATCTTGAAAACACTTACTGATACCAGAGATAGGTATCAAGTCGAGAGTACACAAATGAATCATTATTATAAAAAAATAAATTACGACATAATCTAAATTCTGTGACCTTTGACATGGGTATCGTCATGTAAAAAATATGTTTGCTTTGATTTACTTAATTTTATTATTCTTGTCGACTTAAAAACCGTAATACAAAATCTGGAAGCTATGTTAATCGAAAAACATCACACACTTTTTTTATTTTAATTTTAAACTTAAAAGTTTCTGTTTCTGTCTCTTTTATTATGGATGGCTCGTTCGATGGGCTGTCTTTTATAGATATAATGTCTTTGTAGCTCCTCGATTTCCTTTTCCATTGCGGTGTCCAATAAATCGAATCTTTCTTTCAACTCCTCGTAAGACAAATCCTTGAGGAAGGAGAAATTGCAGTCGACCGGTCGTATTTTTTCGAGTTTGGCTTGCTGCGATTCGTCCACGCTTTCCTCGGTTTGCGCGGCATTTTCTTCCGGCGGATACAGTAATTGCATCGACTCCGATTCGCCGGGAAATATGTGATGTTTGGCCAAATCGTTGTTGATGTTTTCATTTTCAGTGCGATCGAAATGTTCTAGGAACAGAGGTTTGTATTTTTTGTTTTCCGCGTTGGCAAAATCGTCTTTGCTGAGAGTTTTAAAGTCGTCCTCGTCGTCGTTTATCACCATCGTGCCCAGTTCTGATTGCAGTTCCACCATTGTGCCGGATTGGCTGATGGTTTTTCCTGGGACCAGAGTTTCGTCACCCATTAACTCCCGTGACCCAGAGGCCCCATCGCTGGGCGGGATTTGGATTTGACCGCGTACGTAAGTCTGCTTATTTCGTATATCGCAAGCTTCTAATATGAGAGTGTTCAATATGCCTGGACCCTTGGCGTTCTGAAGGAACACGTGTTGGATAAGGCTCGAAGCGGACGCTCTGTCCGATGGATTTTTCACCAGGCAAACGCTTACGAAGTCTATGAACTCAGCACTCCAACGATCTGGCTCTCGAAATGATGGGGGCGGTTTTGTGGGGATCATGAATACCGCCCGCATGGGGTGTATGTCCGCATATGGCGGCTTTCCTTCAGCCATTTCCAAGGCCGTAATGCCTAAACTCCAAATATCCGCTACGCAATCGTATCCAATTTCCAAAATGATCTCAGGGGCCATCCAAAACGGAGATCCAATAACGGTGTTTCTTTTGGCCATAGTCTCAGTTAGTTGACCTGCCACACCAAAATCCGCCAATTTGGCGTGCCCGTCGCTGTTTAACAAAATATTACCCGCCTTTATATCTCTATGAATTTTCCTTCGCAAGTGCAAATATTCCAAGCCTTTCAGAGCGTCCGATAGAATTGTCGCTATCTCGCATTCGTTTAATGTTTTCTTTCTTAGCCTCATACAATCGGAAACCGACCCGGCCCCGCAATATTCCATAATAATCCATAGATCAGTATTTTTAAAATAGCTTCCGTAATACTTGACGACATATGGGCTGTCACACTGCTGCATTATGGAAATTTCTTTGATTATTTCCTGCAGATCGGTATCAAGTGGCACTTGCTTGATGGCGACAACCTGGTCTGACTCTTTGTGAAGCGCTTTGTAGACACTTCCGTAAGCCCCTTCGCCCAGTTTGCAAATAATATCAAACACCTCTTCAGGTTGTCTAGTTAAACTTTCCTCGGATAGCATCTTTAACTGTGTGGTTGACATGTTTATTCGAAAATTATAGTTAGGAACTTTATTATTTTAATGAGTTCTATTTGATTATATTATGATGGTAGAGTGATTCTGCTGTTGTTGATTAGGGTTGTCCATGAAACCTAAAAAGATTAATCCGGTTCCAGTAAATCATTAGTAAAATGCGTTTACAAATAAATAACCACAACCACATTTTTATCAATTCCATATTTAACCTTGCCACTGTTAAATCTTGATTTCATATTTTATTTAAACATTTTTTATTTTAATTTTGCTATTAAACCTAATTTTAAGAGGTGATAGAAGATCAAAAAAGGTACAATTTTATTAAAAAACATTGCTTAAAATTTTTTAACAGGGATACAAGATAAGTTTAAAAGTTTAAAAGAAAAAAAAATCCATCATAACTTTTAAACCACAATCCAACATAACTTCTAAAACACAATCTAATGTACACAATCTTAGTATTGATGTAAATAATTATTTAAAAATCAGTGGCTCAGTCACTTTTCACCTCAGTCTGACGCCACTGTAACTTTTAAATAATAAATACATTTTTAGGTTATCAGTTCAATTTAGAGAGAAAAAAACTCTTGTATAATTTTGATATAGGGCATCGTTTCTGAAATATTTTAATTTTAGGGATGATATGATCCCTATATGAAAAAAATTATTGAAAATATTGCTCACAAAGAAGTTTTTGTTTTTTATTTTTTTAAAACCTTGTCCCAACGATAAAAAGATTATTATTATTTTTTTATTTTTACAATGCCTGTGTTGATCAATTTTTAAAATTGAAATGAAAAATTCCATTCTTAAGTCAAAAAATCGTTGATACCTTAGATCTCAAAAACTCTATTTTTGGGTCGAAAAAGTACTCCCCCTACATCTACAATCTTTTTTTTATTACAAATTTATACAAACATATTTTGAACTGAATAATATAATACATGCATTATTTTTATCCAAAGGAAGACCTTTATAAAAAACGTAAAAAAATATAGGTATTTTTTATTGTATTCTTTTCAGAAAATACAGAAATAACCGTTAAACTGACTATAACCTTAATTATTTGTGTTAACTAACCCCCCGTCCACCCAACCAATCCCTTGTCTATGGTAAAAATGTCAAATTGGACTTTTTGATGTGAAGAATACTACATTTTTTATTTGTAGGTAGGTAGTACCTACAAATAAAAAATGTACATACTACGTACCTACATATCTTATAAAAAATAAGTAAAATTTATTTTATTAATTATGGGGAATATATAAAGGATCTACACTTTGGAGAAATTCCTATAACTTTAGATTAACACACTTTAAAATGAGAGAATTGCACTTTACAGGGTCCCTTACAGGATCAATAATATTGTCAATATTTTTATAGCCAATATTTGACATTACCTAGACTTTCCACGCCACTATTTCAATTTATTGCCTCAAGAGGCCCTCACACATTCAATAATTTGCCAAAATATTGACAGTACATAGACTTCTCACAGCCACTTTTTCAATATTTTGCCTCAAGGGGCCTTCACACGTTCAATGTTGTTGTTGAGTTTGGGTTGGTTTGGGTTGGTTTCACTCACTTTTGCCCATTTAAGTTGATTGACAGTGAGCGAAACCAACCCAAACTCAACAATGAAAGTTCAAGACGTATACCAAATTTTGTATACGTCGGACGTATAAATAGCCACTTCGTACTTTTTAACCAGTTTCAAAGGTATAAATATTTTTTCATGCTTAAAAGGAAATTTTGTAATTTAATTTATAGTCAAAGGTTTAAATTGTACTCATAGACCTTTAAATAAAACAATCTTAACATTTAAATTTGGTAATAAAGTCGGTCCCTTTACTATGTTGCCCAGTGTAGCTTTTAATTGTACAAAAGTAGATTTACCTACAATGTATTATCTAATAATGATCCTTTTACGAATTCATAATTAAAATTGCATAAGTAGGTATACGTAATTAATTCACTCTAAAATAAAATAAGGTATTAAACAACTTTCATTGTAGTCCACTAGTGATGAGATCATCTTTTATAATACCGGTTGATAAAACTAAACTCGAACGTCTTCAAAACAGCTTTTTAAGTGTAGAATTCGAAGCTGCGATTATTTTTATTAAATCAACTTCTTTAACAATAGGCGCACCATTGTATGTGTCTTTAAAAATATCTACGTGACAAAACAATACGAAATAGGAAATAAATACAGCTAGATTCCGGTCATCGTCCGATTCACAAATCATTAGTGATTTCGTGTTTTAAACAAAGGTATTTAGTAACTTATCCCTTGAGGATTATATAATTTTTACCTATTTAAAATGATAAAAAACGTCTAATAACAATGTTTTGTTGTTATATAAATGGAAATAAACTAAAAGAAGGGCAGGTGACACACCCCTGGCACATTTATATAAAAATGAAAACCTAGTCAAACAAACTTAAATCCTACCTAAAAGTAACAAATATAATGTTAAAAACTTACGTTTATAATCCTTTAGTTGGTTTTTAGCCGGTATTTATCACTATGACCGCCGATTTCGGCTTGACACTAGTCTATTCACACTAATGACACCTAAGCTTAAAGAGCATACGCCCCATTAATAAAACAGTCGTAAAGTAAAGTTCTTCGTTTCGTTGCAAAAAGAATATCAGCTAAACGTTTTGTTTCTTTTTAAAACTGATACTACTAAAACGATCAACATTCAAAATATTAATTATTCGCTTCGCGTACCCACACAACAGTCTCTCTTCGACAAACCAACCACAAATCGAATGCGCAGGCGTGAATTTGGGCGATACGCCGAGATTTTAATCAAGCCAAAATAGCCCTTACGTCAACCTGCATGAGTACCAATTTTCAATAAAATTCCCCAGCTTTAAAACACCAGCGCTCCAACGTAAAAAAGAATAACTAGGATCGTCGTTTTTACGTATCGATCTGACAGTTGTCAAAATAAAAGTTGTTTTAAAAGTGCTTTTTTAAATTAAAGGTAAAAAAAAATAGGAAAAAAATCGTTTTTTCTGCGTTTTTTTAAATTTGCCGTTTATAAAAAACATTTTTTTCAGGATATTTTAATGGGTAGGAGAAGCAGATCAAAATCACCTTTTAATTCCAGAAGACGCGATAGAGATCGAGGGGATAAGGAAAGGGATAGAGAACGTGACCGGGATAGAGAGCGAGATAGGGATCGGCACAGAAGAAAACGATCAAGAGATAGGTCGCGAGACAGGGAAAGAAGACGCTTTTCACATGACAGGGATGTACGTAGGCGCTTTTCCCGTTCCCGTTCTAGAAGTAGGTCGAGATCCACGGAAAAAAGAAACAAACCTGTTATTCCCGAAAGACCAGTCATCACTGCCGCCGATTTAGAAGGAAAAAGTGTCGATGAACAGGAAATGATGAAGATGATGGGCTTTTGCACTTTTGACACTACTAAAGGTAAAAAAGTTGAGGGGAATGAAGTGGGTGGTGTTCATGTTATCTTAAAAAGAAAATACAGGCAATACATGAACCGTAAAGGCGGTTTTAACAGGCCCCTTGACTTTGTTGCTTAAAATCTTATGACTAAGTGATTACTGTGAAATGTTGGACAATTTCTTACCTCAGAACTGACAACCTCAAACTTATCGGGTTAAGCAAAATAAATTTACCTCATATTGCAATAGATACAATACAATAGCTTACAATACAATTTTAATGGTTAACTTTTAAGTATAATAAATGTTATAAATCTCATACAGTTCATCGAAGAGTATGAAACTCATTCATACTCTTTGGTCTTTCCTTCGAACAGGAATGTTTGTTGGCGATACGGGTTCACATTGTCAGTAACTGTTATAATTGTTCAATTTATATTATTTTCATTATTTACATAATAAATAATTACAGTGATATATTCATCAAACAGTTAGAATAAGTTTATTTCTGAATATTTACTTATATTTATAAATAAAAGAATACAAAATATATAACACTTTTTTAATACCTTTAATACCTATAAACAATTTTAATATTTTTTAATGTAATAATTGGATGTAGGAATTGTCTGTGCCAAATTTTTAAAATGCCAGAAAATAAATAATTTCATTATATCAAGCAGTGTTGTCAACACAAAATCTATCTAGGAGGAAATATGATTTTAAAAGTTGCTAGTTTTCAACAAACCTTACTTTAAAAAGTCATTAGATCTACACCTTTATTTTTTAAGTATTCTAGAGAAATCTTGCACATAACTTTTGTTGATAAATCTTTTGGTGTGTAGTAGTAGCCCTGCAAAGTATCAGTGACTAGCTTTTAACAGAGATATCTCTGCTTTTAATAAATTAACTGCAGAAAACAGTCTCTCATAGAGATGCGACTTGAAAAAAAAACCGGTCCGTTTTTTTTCAGGTTTTTTTCATTGTTTTTTTTCAAATGGTTTTTTTTCACATTTTAGGTTTTTTTTCAAGATTAGTCCCATTTGTCTAATTTTTTAGGATTCATGGACTAAAATTAGCCACTAAATGACAATTAGTAAATGTAAATACAATCTCGCGCTATGCACGCGCTACCACCACCGTATTGACCAATAAGGGCCGCGCTTGTTTTGATTTGATCCTAAAAAAAGTAACTACTTATAATATTTTTGATTCAGCGCTTGATTTTTCAAAAAGCTACCAAAAGCACTTTTTTCATGATTTTTCAAATTCATGTAGAGTATGGAATGGCAAATTCTTGTAGAACATTTATTCATTGGTGGTAAAGTCAGAACATTCCGTGGACCAGAAAGCCAAAAAAAATCGATTTTTTTTATTACGGTATTTTTTAGGATTGGGCGTTGCACATTTTTCATCAAAAAATCTCAAAACTAGAAACTTCAAGCTTCAAATTGCTTTTTTTACGGCTCCAATACGATCATTTTTAACAAAGATACAGCTATCCGAAGAATCGCAAAACAATTTTTTTATCCTTTAATTTTTTGTATTGGTGTAGAAGTTTTACATTGCTACTGGTTTCTAATGTGGAAACTACCAAATAATAAGAAATCAGATTTTTTAGTCTCGGTCAAAATTTTCAATAATGAAAAATTTAATATATTCTACATTTCACTTTATAATTAATATATATAATTAATATAAATTTCATTTTGAAAAAAAACAAAAAAAACCTAGGTTTTTTTTCATGTTTTTTTCACATCTGAAAAAAAACCGTTTTTTTACATCTCTAGTCTCTCAACATTGGCACTACTTTGTGGAAACACAAGCAATTTCCTCACAACCACTCAGTAAAGGAAACATTTGTAAATCATTCCTTTTTTTTATTTGGTAAATTCATCAAAGGGTAAAAATGTACTTAAAAAAGGCATTATTATAAATTTTACCAATTTTTATTAAAACAATTTAAAAACTTAAAAAGTTGCTAGATTTTTTTTCAAAGTTCATCAAGACACTAAAAGTTGGTAGATCCACAATCCACACATTGTGGGCAGATCTACCAATAATTTCGGTATAGGTAGTAAATATTCTATATAATATTAAGGTATTTATTACCAAAATAAGAATTATTAAAAAATAACTTTGATAATAAAAAATATTCTTTATATATATATGGTTGGTGAAAAATATTATCTAATTAGGTAAATAAGATACAACAAATTTGAAAACACTTTAAAATGCAATACTGGGTTAAATTAAAACACCACAATCCATTTATCAAATAAATGTTCGATAAAGTTTGTTTTTATTTTCCACTTTAAAATGCAATATTGGGTTAAATTAAAACACCACAATCCATTTATCAAACAAATGTTCGATAAAGTCTGTTTTTATTTTCCACTTGTGGTACAAAAATTGTATAAATAAGCATGCTTGCAACTAGCAGATTTCTGTTTTTTCTCTCTCTCTCTCTCTACATATACAGTGTTGGCCATAATTTTTGAAACCACTGTAAAAAAATCTGGGTGACGTTCACAATATCGAAATTCATTATATCGAATTCAAAATATCGAACACTTTTTATCGAAAATCAAAATATCGAAAATACAAAATGTCGAAAATCAAAATATCGAAAATTAAAATGTCGAAAATGATAATATCGAAAATTAAAATGTCGATTTGAAAATGTCGAATAATTAAAATTTCGAAAATTAAAATGTCGAAAATGATAATATCGAAAATTAAAATGTCGATTTGAAAATGTCGAATAATTAAAATTTCGAAAATTAAAATATCGATTTAAAAATATCGAAAATTAAAATGTATGATTAAAATCGAAGTGTATATGTACAGTTACGGAAAGAAGTAATGTCCATTTGAATGCTCCATTGTAATTGTTCGGAGGCATTCGGAAATGGTCAACATCTGCCTCTTAGGGATTTATTTAAAAATATGTTTATATTTAGAATTTACTACCTGCTCGTATTGAATTAATTATTTTGGGTACCTATGTTACATATTTAACTGTATTTTTATTAAATCGTTAATTTTTTGATATATCTTTGTATAGTTTTATAAACATTTATTCTAGGAAAAAACTTTTAATAAGAACTTTTTAGGCTATAAATTATATTATCAAGTTGTAGTTTTTTAAAACTTACTTTACATTTTTCAGAACTAGCAATGATTCAATACACTATTTTAGGAGTAAAAACAAATTTTATTATTTGTTGCACTTTTATGTGTTAAAATTAAAAACATACTCTCTAAAAATGAATTAGTCAAAAATTACTAATTTAATAGTTAATAGTGGCTGCTTTTTCACTTGTACCATGGTTAACCATGGAATACCATGGTATCCCAAAACTAAATAGCCAATTCTTATGTAAAATTATCCCCTGAATCCGAAAATACCGTCAAAAGTTAAAAAAGTAGAACAGTTTTTGAGATATAGTCAATTTTCTATTTAATATGGAATTGACTATATCTCATAAACTGCTTCACTTTCATAATTATTGATGTATTTTCGGATTCAGGGGACAATTTTACATAAGAATTGGCTGTTAAATTTTGGGATACCATGGTATTCCATAGTTAACCACGGTACAAGTGAAAAAGCAGTCAATAATAATTAAAATTTTTATATTTGGTATATTTTTAAATTAAATATAGTAGGATTTATCAAAAAATGTTTAATATAATTATAATATAAAAGTTAACATACCTATAAAACTATACCCTAGTAGAAATTTTACGTAGAAACAACGTTTTTCCCACGTTGGCAAAACCTAACTTTTATGTATAATTTTATGTTGAAATGTCCCGGTTTATAACGTTATCTGACAACGTTAGTTTTTAATGTTATAAAAAACGTGGGATTTACGTATTATAAAACGTTGCAAATACGTGGGTTTTGTGTATTATACAACGTTGCTTTTATGTATTATAAAACGTTGCAAATACGTGGGATTTGTGTATTATACAACGTGGGAAATATGTGGGTTTTGTGTATTATAAAACGTTGGAAATACGTGGGATTATTGTATCATAAAACGTTGGATTTTTTTATAAATTTGGGTAGGATTTTTCTTTATTATTGGAAAATTTAATATATATTTAAAAACAACAAAAATTTATTGTACAAAAAAAATACTTTGGAAAAAAAATTTCCAATTAACAAAATCTAAAAAATATTATCTAATAATATTATACTTAAAGTAAACAAATTAAATTATAACAAAATAGCTTTAACAAAAAATTTACAATGGTATTTTAAAAAGAAAAAATATTGCCTATATATATAACAATTTTCTATACAAGATACTACAAGTTTTAAATCAATATTAAAATTAATTAAAAATACCCAATTAACAAAATCTAAAAAATATTATTAATATAATATTATATACTTAAAGTAAACAAATAAAAATATAACAAAATAGCTTAGACAAAATATTTTCAATGGTATTTTGAAAAGAAAAACTATTGCCTATATTCATATAGGTATTAACAATTTTCTAGATACAAGATACTACAACTTTTAAATCAATATTAATAAAAATCTAAAAAATCCTATTTAAATATTAACTAGAAAAATTCAAATATAAGTAACATAACTTAAAACATGGCCTAAAAAAAATAACAATGCTGGTATTTTAAAGAGAAGAAATATTGCCTATTAACAATTATTACAAATTTTCTAAATAAAGGATTAAACAAATTATAAATTAGCAACAAAAATAAAAAGTCAAAGAAATTTAAGTAGTTACCTAGTTAAAATATAAGTCTAAATAAAACAATTAACAATGAAGGTGAGTTTAAAGTCACAAATTTTTAATTTTCATTAAGGGTTTTGATGCTTTGCAAAATAAATTTTAGCAATTACGAATATATAAGAAAAAATGTGAGGATTTTTGCTTTTGAATAAAAATTTAGAGCACAAGCATTAAAAGGAAAAAATACAAGCAAAAATAGTATTTTTGCCTATATTTTTTTATACACTTGAAAGTTTTAAAATTGATTTTGTATAGTATACAAATTTATTTATTAAATGCAAAAGATTGTGACCTAAAATTGATTTACATATGGATATAATTTATTAATATAAAAATTATTAAGAACCTTTGATTGTTAAAAAAAATCTAATGGATTTGGCTGGTAACCAACACACAATGGTAAATGATCTCCTCCAGTGTCAGCAAACATTAGAAAAGTTGAAAAATAGTTTAATATTCTGAGTTTCCTTTTTTCACAACATTTTGTTGTTTCCCTGGGTAACCAGGTGCTGGCAAAGCATCCCTTATTTCCTTTACTTCTGAAAAAATATTGGTTTATCACATCATCATGAACTTCTGATCTGGATCTTTTTAGATTTTTAGCATTCCTTTGAGTAATCACAATTTTTGCCTCCGGAAAGAATTTAGCCAGTCATTGCCAGGAAGGTTTTCTTTAAAACAACTAATTATCACTGCTTTGTGGTTTAGATATGACTGCACTCTTTTGTCTCTTGTCTTGCAAAAGATTATCCATTATCCGCAGATCATCTGAT